GGATAGGACATTCGGACTCAAACACCCACAACGCAGCTCTTCAATCGCACATGAAGAACATCTCCCATTCATATTTGTTTCTTACCCACCAAATAATCTGGGCCACTCAACCAGTCCTAGTCCAAAACAAAGGTCTCTTAAATAAATTTATTTTATCATTTTTTATATATTAAGCAGTAAATATATGATGAGATGCCAACTATTTTAATAGGTCGTACTGTAGATAACCAGACTGATTTTATTTTAGTGTTGATTTTCATTCTTACTAATAACAAGCTTTACGTTAGTTATTAAGGGAGACGAAAAACTGATCGATAAGGTAATATACATTTTAGAAGATAGTGTCGTTGTGGGGAAATCGACGTAATCCATATGCTTGGGAAAATGTGCCAGCAAATTTCTGCTTGCTAGTTGGGATGCAAGTATGCAACTATGCGTTCAAAATACACTTCAATTGAAATTTTGAAATCACAACTTGTGTGTATAGAGAGAAGAACTTCATTTTTATTTTCTTTCTATATTTATATATTCAGTACTTATGTGGATGCATTCCTACTTCTAAATTATAACTTATATGTATTTCTCATTTATCGGTGTTGAATCTGTTTGTACCCAAATGATGTATTTTCAAATTTAATAAATTTCTTATTTTTTATTTGTTATATATAAATACTAATATTAATCAGGACCCGTGTGATGTATAGATTTTGTTAAGGCCTAGTTTACAAAGACTATAAATACAAATTTGTAGAATAGAAAACCCTACATTTTATATTATTTTTATGCATTTTCGCTGGAAATATTTGTCTTTCCAAATTCAACCTAAGAGAAATTAAAGTAGTTGCCCAATAGTTTTTTCATTTTTTTTTCCTGTTTCAATCTTATGACCTTTTCAATTGCACCCCAGTAAGAGTAGCCAAAGGCTGTACTTAATTATTTGTTTTTATTTTTAAATAAAATTAATTTACTAAAATTTTATTTTTTTATATAAAAAAATCAGTTTTCAATGTCAGCATTCCCTCCTCCTCTTTCCCACATCATTTTTAACTTTCTTTCTTAATTTTTAGTTATTTTAAAATGCTAATGTAGTCTGGCTTGGGCCGCTTGGGCTAATTAAAAGTGTCGTAAGACTCTTTATTACTATTGATATTTTTCTTATTATTTATTGTAAATACACGATTTTCATGCTTCTTCATTGAGGTAACGATACCCACTCGAGTTCAGATTTCCTGTCCACAAGAATTCTACCCACATTTGTGTTATGATATTCCCAATTTACGGAGATAGTATGTTGTGAGTAAACGTAAGCAGGAGATCCCGCGTGTCCCTGCTCCCCCCCAAAAAAATCCCACGTAACGTTTTTATTTTCTTTTTTGATTAATAGCCTGGTGGTCTCATGGGGCTGCACAACAGGGGTTTACCCAACCCCTTGCGTTGGTAACAATCATTAGTTGAAGAGAAGGTTTTTTATATTGCCTAATAATAAGTTGAAGTCCATCCACAGTTACACATAACTGAACCACCGAAGAGAAATTTCTTTGTTGTAGATTGTCTCTCTCTTGTCATTCATTGGGGAGATATTCCCAACTGTGGTGTATTGTGTGTAGACCTGTTTATGGATCAGGTTAGGCTTTGCCTCTTTATCAATAAAAAATGTTTAGGTCAGATTCAGAGTCTAACATGACTATCAGGTTTAGATTTTGAGCCCGAGCCTGGCCCTTATATAAAGCCCGAAGTCTGATCTATACATGAAATGTCTTATTTTCAGTGTAATTTTATAAATTAATAAACTAATTTGTATTTTCTAATAATAAATATATATTATATATAATATAAGTATTTTTTTATTGTATGTAATAATGTTGGGCCTGGTATTTAAATCTCAAGACCAAGCCCGTGGGCCTGAAGTTTTGTCTAAGCTCTAAAAATAATAGGCCAAGCTGGGCCAGCTCAACGAACTACCCTGATCATGAATATGTCTAATTGTGCATAGAGAAATGGTAAAAAATTGTGAGTAAGAGATCTGAAGTGTAGATTTAATGCCAAACACAAAGATACCAACGGGATAATTGGGAAGGTTTCCTATTGGGTTTCATGGGATAAAATATTCTCTATGTGTGTGTCACTGCTAGACCTGGCAATTGGGTTGGGTGGGTCGGGTTCGAATTGGGTCAAGGTATTTCGGGTTGATTCCGGATCAGATTGAATTTTGGATTGGGTTGTCAAATACTAGACCCTAATCCTAAATGTTCGGGTTAAAGAGTAAACAATAAAAAGTAAAGACTAAATAAAAAAAAAAATTAAAGAGTAGAAACTTCTAACAATGCATAAATAATCCCAATTAAACTTGATAATCGAGTCAGCGGATTGACCCATGACCCAACCCAGTTTTTTTCGGGTTGGGTCATTTTTACATTTGGGTTGCTAAATATGAGATCCTAACCCTATTTTTTTAGGTTGGGTTGGATCGGATTCATGGGTTGAGTCAACTTTTTGCTAAGTCTAATAACTGCATAATAACATGTTAAGAGCATAAGGTGTTCTCCACGTGTGACTGTAATCATGTGGATAGATGTAGGCAAAGTTGTCATTAGTAGGAGATCTGGACTCGTTCTATAGCCCTTTGTAGCAAAAAAGATTTATGGCCAAACAAAGTATTTAGCATCATTGTTCTTTTCTTTAAACTCAATAATTGAAACGAAACCTTCAGGCAATATTGCCCAAACAAAGCAGAAAAGTAGGAAAACTTGAAACAATAATATTATATGTTTCCTCCGTTTTCAACTTTCCATCAAAACCAAAAAGGCAAAAACTAAATAAAATATTGGATAAATTACACGGACCCCAATACTTATAACGACCCTCTTCAACTTTGACCGTGAGACAAAGACCCCGAGATCAGTTAAGTCAGATGATGGAAAGTATTAAATTATTAAAATACCCTGTTAAACATACTCTATTTTCTTTTTTTGCCATCATCTCTTCAAATCTCGCTAGCCCAAAAATATCCCCATTTCTTCTCAACGAACAATACTTCTGCAATGAAACTCCGATGGATCCTCCGTTGCTCAAATAAACATATCAAGTTTTTGTTTGGGTTAATGTACAAGATGTAGAGATTTAGACAGCATGGGTTATGTCTCAGTGGATTTTGATGGCCGAGAGCATAAACAAGTTTGCTCCTGATCCTCTGGTCATGAAAGGACTAATCATCCGATTGATCACGAGATACCACCACCGAACATTGATCAAAATCTAGAAAAATAGAGCCCCAAATCAAAACCAATAACCAGAACAAAATCAAGCTAAATTCAACTGGGCTTCAAAAAGGATTCAATGCCGAGGATGAAGACCACCGTCGAACATTGCGCTTCTCCTCATCTTTGCTGACTCCGTGCATAAAGACCACCTTCTCGAGATCATTACCCAGGTCTTCTTCAAAAGGGATTCGATGCCGAGGATCACATCGCTCCCTCGGAGGATGTCAAAGATCGTCACCCAATCAACGGCGTTCTTGATCATAGCGAACCCATATCCCCCAGAAGAAACGAGGATCACATCACTCCGCTCGCTCGGAGGATGCCGAGGATCACATCATTCGCTCATCCTGGGGAATACCCCAGAAGAAACGAGGGGAGAGAGAGAGAGGGAGAAAGAGGAGGAGCAATGTCGTTGGGTTCTCGTCGGGCGCCGCAGGATACACCCACCTTTGTTGTTTCCTTCAAAGATATCCAACGGTCTTTGAAGCATTTCCTCCATAGAAACCCTAAATCTTCTTACTCTTCAGCCGGCGTTTCATTATTGATTCTTTCATTGCTAAGAAACTGTTTTGATCTCCTTTCACCTTCCGCTTTCTTCTCATCTTCCTCCAGTCTTCATCATATGAAAATTTGCTGCATCTTTCCCTAATGCTGAGAAGCCGAACCCTAGCCAGATTTTCAAAATCCTCTTGAGTGAGATTGGTGAAACCCATTTTTAAAAATCCCCTTACTCCCTGAGAAGCGAGATGGAAGCACCACCAGAACTCACACCACTACCACCGCCGTAATGGTTGAAACTGATTTTGATCAAATGAAGAGAAGCGCACCAGGGACCTCGAGTCGGACGATGGCGTTGAGGGGCATCTGGACGCTCATCATGTTGGCAAGCTCCAATATGTCAGTTTGGCGTTTTTTCAGATCTCTGTTGTCTCGTCTGCCATTGGCCGTAAAACTCTGATTCTCGGTTCTCACTCCTCATGTCGTGTCTAATTATCAGAACTCAGAAGGATAGTTTGAGAATTTAGGAGTCTTGTAACAGTGAAATAGAAATCTTTTTTAACGATAATTAACAGAATAATTGATGGCCGGGCCGGGTTCGAGCCGGATTTTGTATATGTATCAATAGAATACATTCAGGCCCGAGTCCGAGTCTGGCCCGACCATCAGGCCTAGGTCTTGAGTCCAAACCCAGCCTTCATATAAAATTCGAAGCCCAGGCCCAAATCCGAGTCTGGCCAGAAATTTGAAAATAATTTTTTTTATTTAATAAAAAAGTATTTTATTTATATTAAAAACCTTTAAAACTCAAAAATAATAAATATCTTCCTATTACTAGAATTAAAAAAGAAGAAGAACAAAAAAAATTATATATATTTTATTAAATAAAATATATTATTTAATATATAATATCAAATTGGGCTCAGGATCAGACCAGTTTTTTTAAGAAAGCCTGAGTTCAGCCCGATAAAAAAAGTTGAGTTCGGTGTTTTAGGTCCGAAACCGAACCCGCTGGCCTAAAATTATGACCAAACCCGACTTATAACGAGTCAATCCGAACCAGTCCATCGGGCTATCCGACCCATGAACAGGTGATGATAAAATATTAAGAGAAGGGTTTTTGTCTCACGGCTAAAGTTAAAAGGGGTCTTTCTCGCAAAAAATGCTAAGAGTCTTTGTCACAGACCCTATAATACGGGGGGTCCGTGTAATTTACCCTAAAATATTCGACTTCCCGTTTAAAGGAAATTGCCTCTCTTTCTGTTAACGATGGACGAAGAAAGGAAACCAAATCTTTTCCTCGTCTAAATAAGTAGAAGAAGAAGAAGAAAGCGACAGCAGCAGCCATACGAAAAGCAAATTGGAACGTAGTAATGGAAATGCTAGATCCTGGGAACCACAACCTTAGCAATTCTAACTCGCAGAGTGCTCAGAAAACGAAAGCGACGGTAATGCTCGGCAACTCGAACGGTTCATTCAGAAGCTCTCACCACCGGCGAGCCCATTCTGAGGTGAATTTCAGGCTCCCGCATGACCTAGATATTGTCGCTGATCCGTTTGATGCGCCCACCGCCAGCTTTGAAGAGATCGGATCGGAGGACGATCTCTTTTGTACGTATATGGACATTGAGAAGCTCGGATCCAAGATCGAGGATTGCACGACAGGGGGAAGCAAGCTGGTAGATTTCCGGATCGATGATGGAGGTATCGTTGACGGACGGAATTGTATGGGTCAGAACGGAGGAGCAGCAGGAGGAAGAGGTGATGTTGGTGTTTCTGGAGCCGTACGGTCTGAGAACAGTGTTGAAGAAAAGAATGTTAGGCCTCGGCACCGGCATAGCAATTCGGTCGACGGCTCTTCCATCTTAAGAGGAGAGTCTCTGTTTGGGGATGTAATGGATGCCAAGAAGGCAATGCCTCCAGATAAGCTTGCTGAACTTTGGACACTTGACCCCAAGCGAGCCAAAAGGTACTCGATTTGATGCATTCTTCTCTTTTTAAAGGGAAAAATTGAAATACGTTTGTCAACTCCAGTTATGCTATTTAATCCTGTGGAGAAACTACACCTTGAAAACTGTTGAGGTTGCCGAAACTTAAGAAGTCATTCCTCCAGAACTTTATACCGAATAAGTAATTGATGTGCAATGAGATTCCTTGGGTTCATGAACTTGGAGGAGGGTGTTGCAGGACCTCGCCTGAGTTTATGATAAAAATGCAAAATACTATTTCTTGTTATAATGTCCCGACCACCTTCTGTACCTATAACTTACTTTTGTTTGCCTTAGGTACTTACTCTTGAGAAAGTTATGGCTGGTTACTGCAGATAATGCCTGGAAATTTTAGCTTTATATACTTTATGGTTCATGATTTCGATCTTGCTAGCTAGACATTTTACTTACGATAAAATATTTGGAAAGCTCAATTTTACCTCAGGATGTAGAATATTGCTGGAGGTTAGGGAGATTTTTAATACGAGTAGTAAGGATAGACTTAGAGACGGATCCATCTAGGTAGACTAACGACCATCACAAATAGGTGACAACATTTAGGAACTTAGATGGTTCTGCTATGCACATAGTATCCCAAATTATCTAGGCCAATTAACCTATAAAAAGAAACAATACATATTGACCATCTTATTAGTGGATCTTCCTGACTGAAGACTCTTAAAGAATACTGCAGAATCTCGTAACAGACCCATTGACATTCCAAACACAAAAAGAGAAGAAAACGAATCTCTAATGATAAGAGATATGAGTGCATTGCCCCATATAATTCTTTAAGCCTTACAAGTGGCTAGGGTAGCTGGACTGACCTGTTCTCGGTATGGATCCCACTTTTATATCCCATGTTTCTCTCACTTTCTGGCTGCTTGGCAATTAAGGCCACAACCTGTTTTCTTTTCTTTTTTTTTGGTTATTAAATTTCAGATCAAAAGATATTAAGGGCCAAACTTGTCCAAGCATGGAAGAATCTTCTCTCTCACAGCCCCAAGAGTATGGCTAATGCCTTCTGTTGCAAAGCATCATATCAAAGAAAGAACATCAGTTTTATTTCTGTCTTCCCAAAATTTTGGAGCATAACCCTTTAGATTGAACAAGAAATGAAACTGACTAGACAGACAAGATACTATGACTGACTCATTACATAGGATATTGTAATTGTCTTGCTGCAGCCTAGATGGTACATAGCTACTACTGAAGGAATTCGGTTGAAATCCAAAGCAGAGACTAAATTAAAACTGGACTGGAACTACTTGTTGGAAAAGACATGTCTTATGATCATGTGCCCATGGTTATACATGCATCTTAAGGGTTTGGTTGAATTTTGGGTCCGAGGTTCTGTACCCCTGTGGGGCCCCTCTTTTTTCCTGTTTTGCTTGGCATTGGACCCTGTTTCATATATGCTTCAGCAAGATGAGAATCCAATTTCTAAACCTCTATGACTCTACCTGAGTACAGAGTAAGAATCACCTTATTTATTAAACTCCAGGGTTAAGCCCCAGGATGATTCCTTTATATTAGTATTGATGGAGCATCTCAGGAGTCAGGGGTATGGTGGAAGTGGTGAATGCCGATTTAATTTTGCAAATTGTAGCAATAGAGTTAGCTAATCTAGGCATCTATTAAAGGAGCTGTTCAATCTAACTGATAGAAGGCAGACTTCTTTGATGACATGGAGTGCTAGGAACAAAAAAAAAGTCTGATTGCTTCATGTTCAGTTTAGTTTGAAGTTTGAACCCTAACATAGTTTAGATTATCTTTGAACATTTGTTTTGAGTTCATCTGGTCCTACTATCTTATTTCAATCATTATTTCCATCTTTGATTATAAGATGTTAAATTTTGCCTTTTTTGTTATCTTTCTACCAAAAAAAAGTTAAATTTGCATCTTAAATTTGGGATTCTAAGGTTTCTTCGTATTTGTGATCTATATTCTAGACATTACTAACTTACTAGATACAGGATTCTTGCAAATCGACAGTCTGCTGCTCGGTCAAAAGAGAGGAAAGCTCGTTATATATCAGAACTTGAGCGAAAAGTTCAGACATTACAAACTGAAGCAACAACACTTTCTGCACAACTGACATTATTTCAGGTTTGTCCTAGACGTAACAGTCAACTACAGTGTATGCCCAACTGCTATTTGAATATTCAGAACCTACTCTTGTCTTTCCCTCCTTTATCCTACAAAAGAATCTGGTAATGTTTAAAAAATGTGGAAACTAGAAAGCTAAACCTGAAGTTTTATATTCTTTACAAAGTACTTTGATCATTGAGAAATAATGTTTATGTTTTATATGATATAAAATGCTGGTGTATTATGTATAGATGTGGATCATATCAAATTGCCTCAACAATTCAAGCGCGTCAAACTCTCAACATGTTTGTCTCTCTCCTAGTTGCATTACATCAAGTCAATGTTTTAAGACTCAAACCAGATCGGATGGTGAGATTGTTCAACCTAGGAACTAGAAGGCATTCTGGTTTTTTAAACCCCGGTTTTCATATTTAGAATAACCGGTCAAAACCTAGCAAAATCATTGAAAACCGGCTGTATCTCAATGATCCAACCAGTTTCCACTACCCACCCAAGTCACTAAATAAACCTTAAAATGCAAATGGGGAGACTTGAACCTGAGATCTCAAACTTACATGCACAAGTCCCAAACCATTGTATTTTTACATATATATTTTCAATAAAACACAAGTACCGAGACTTACACTTTCACCATCCAGCCACCACTTACATGTCTTGCATGCCTAATCCTAGGAGGCTGATTTTGTGATCCTGGTCATGGGTTATTTTTTTTTTCTTTGGGAAAATTCCCGATCAGTACCCTGTACTTTGGCTTGAGTGACAATTTGGTCCCCGAACTTTAAAATGCAACAATTCAGTACCCGAACTTTCAAAATGTAACAAATTGACAATCCAGTACCCGAACTTTCAAAATGTGACAATCCAGCACTTGTCGTTAACCAGTCCGTTAATCATCCATTAAGTGACATTTGAAAAGTCAAAAATGCCCTTCGAATGCCATCTAATTCTCATTAACAATCCAAATGTTGACAAAAAACTGAACAACCTCAAATCCTAGCCTCTTCTATTCAAAAAAGTTGGTGACTGTTTAGAAGAATCTAGAACTTGGGTAAAAAGAAATGATAATTCCTTTGCTGATGGATTAGCTAGACAAGGGGTTAATAGGGCTTCTGGGTTTTGGGCTCAATTGTAAGTTTTTTGTGTTTTTAAGTTAGATGTATTCCCATACCTTGGGGAGCTAACAATTTTTAGCTCACATTCTTTGTAACTTTATTCCCTTATTAATGAAATCTGTGGTTATTGATGAAAAAAAATTTATTGTCAATGTTTGGATAGTTGATAAAGAGAATTAGATGGCATTCTTAGGGCATTTTTTACTTTTCAAATGTCACTTAACGGCTGATTAACGGCAGGTACTGGAAGTATTTATCAAATTCGCCATGTCTACTTCTTTTCCTAGTGTTTTTTCCATTGTTTTTCCTAGAATAGCTTTTTGAACAGTGATGCCAAATAAGGTAGCCAAGGTGGCTTCCTAGTTATCTTAGGCTATTAATAGACACTGAAACTAATGGAATTATTTTTTTGAAAATAAAGCTAATGGAAATATGGGAAATGAATTAGCAAAATGATATATTTCTGGCAACTACCTAGGTATTAGTTGGTTGCACCAAAAGGTGATTTCATCTGATGAAGATGCCTGATTTAAATGGAAAATGCAGGACTTTGATTTGATAAAGATGTACCATGTTAAAATCATCAAAAAATAGGATTTTGTGCTCTTTTGCAAAACATAATATTTGGAAAAGCCCAATACTGCCTTTAGTGATCAGCCTGATTCATTTTGAGCCTTCCTCACCACACTGTTTGATGCTAGGACTTGTTAAAAGTTGTATATTATCATGCATTGACTGTACTTTGCTCATCCTATATTTCTTTCACTGTTTTCTAGATGCTGAAGAAATAACTTTTGTCATATTTCCTTTTAGAGAGACACAACGGGTCTCACTACTGAGAACACTGAACTTAAGCTTCGATTACAAGCTATGGAACAGCAAGCTCAGTTGCGTGATGGTAAGTTTCAATTCCAACAATTTTTAGTGTATGTCACCATGTGCAATCTATTATTCCTTTTTCATGCATATTCCCTGAAAGCATTTGCGTAAGCATCTTATTTGGGTTTATTTGTTCCTTTTTATATGGCAAGATGCCAAGATGTTCTCTATGTAATAAAACCTGTATACAAAATTTAAATTGTATATTGCATGGTTGAAATCATGGTTTTTAGAACCGAACTGGTCAGGGCACCATTTTCCGGTTCGGCGGTTCAACCGTCCGGGTTGAACGGTTCGACACATGACGTCATAAATAAATAAAAATTAAAAAATACTTATATATAATAAAAATACCATAGAAATTTAAATAAAATACAAAAAATACACAGAAAAAATACAGGAGAAAGAACAATACATGAAAAAATAAAAATATCTAAATATAAAAATAATAAAATACAGAAAATACAAAAAAAATACAGAAAATTTTCCAAAAAATATAGAAAATTTTCCAAAAATATAGAAAAATTCCAATTGTAGTACTTAGACCCTTTGGCCTACCTGAAGCATCCATGCCAAAAGATATGTAGTCTAATAACCAAAAACCCAAGGCCCTAATAGAAAAAAGTTATAACTTATAATTGAAAAACAAAATCATTCCTTGAGAAATACCCATTATAACAGCTCAATGCACCTTACCATTAGCTATTTCAGGCTTTCAACTTCTACTTTCTTTGAGTTTCTAGCAAGCCCTTTTAACTTGTATTTCAAATATACAAAGAAAATGGTAAGAAAAACTTCTACCAGGCCATAAGCAATGCAAACTATAAAAGGAGTACTTTCTTTCACCTTACAAAAATGGACCCCTTTAGATGGTCAAGTCTTTCAGAGTTTCCTCTGGACTTCCTGTTCAAAAACACTAAGAAGACAAGAAAAGAAATTTTGCAAAATATTCTATTCATATTGCCATAACATCGTGCATTCTTAATTCATCAAACATAATACTTAGATACTTAAAAATAAAAAGATCATAAACACAAGTAACAAAAAGATCAAAAACCAAGTTCACCAAGTATTAAACACAAATCAAAACTTCAAGTTCAACATAGAGTTTGGTTCACTAATCTAATCATCCAAATTCTCCAAATATGTTGGCCCCACTTCTCAATGGTACCAACTACCAACCAAAGCCAGGTGGTATTTCTCCTTCATCTTCATCTTCATCTTCATCTTCGGGAGGTTGTGTTTCATCTACATCTCCAACTTGGGTGTTGGCTGCATTTTCCTCCATGATTCCCCATTTGCTCAATGAAAAATTCATTATCATCTAAAGAACGAAAATAGAAAATTAGGACTCAAAAAATAGCTAAAATAATCAAGTATGGAAATGTCATTTGAGATAATATCAATGATAGTTACCATCAGTCCTAGCTCTTTTTCTTGATGGTGATTCCATTATTGGAAATGTTGTCTCATCAGCTTTAAACATATCATCCTTCTCAATACCATCAAGTAATGGAGGATCCTCATCATCGTGCACTATCCAATCTTCCACAACATCAACATGTTCATGCCCAATTGGGTCAAGACATTCAGTTTTTCTCCTACAAATCAATAAATGATACATTAAATGCAATGCAAGCATTAAAAAAAAAGCAAGCATGAAACATAAAAGTTAAAACACTTACCCATCCATCACATGCAGGTTGCAATGAACATATACTAGGTCATTGAGCCTCTGGTGCTCTAACCTATTCCTTCTCTTCGTGTGTATACGTTCAAAAACACTCCAATTGCGTTCACACCCAGATGAGCTACACACCTAGTTAAGGATCTGTACAACAATCATTTTCAAATTTGGAGTGTCACAACCAAATCTCGACCACCATTCACCTATATACAATGAAATATAGTTAATTTAATTTATAAAATAAAATTGAAAATTGAAATAATAAACATGTTATAAGAAAAAAATATTTATTACCTGGAGGTGCTGACTTAAATGTCTTCACTGAGAAAGGTCTTCCAAAATTACCACGACAATTTTCAAAAAGAGTAAGCTCTTTGTTCAGCTTTATCTCCACATCATCTGATTTAATTGCAAGCTTTTCAATGACATCAAAAACTCTAGACATAATGACCGGGGATTTAACTTTTGATTTCGGATCATATTGGAAGGCCGGGTTAAAATAATACCCTGCAAGATGAAGCCTCTGACCCATTTGTCTATTCCATCTTCTATCAATGATGTCCATGATTGGGCCATATTCAGCTTTCTTATAATTAAAAAGCTTTTTCAGTGATTCTTTTGCCTTCAACATTGCATGATACATATACCCCATTGCAGGCCTAAACTCAGAATCTGCAAGTCTCAATGCACTAACAAGAGGTCATGTGAAACCCACAATCATTTTGCATTGTGCCCAAAATTCAGAATCCAAAACTATTTGTATTACTTTCCCCTTTGCATCTTTTGCATCGATAGAACTCCGATCTATCACCAAATTTTGCAAATCATGCATGTGTTTCAAAATGCTATCCAATGCAATGAAATTAGTTGCAAAACGAGTGGCTCCAGGATGTACTATCTCAATCCAACCTGGTCTCTTCCTTAGCATTGAGAGTACAAAAATATGATTGTAGTCAAATTTGATAATTCTAGATGCACGTTGAACCACATTTGCAACTAATCCATTTCCCCAATTTCCTTTAACATCAAGTTTAGACAATGTGTTGCACAAGGTGACCAATATATCCATGGAAATTCTGCTTCCAACAATCTTCCTGTAGCTACATAATTTGCAGCATTGTCAATGACCACTTGAACAACATTTTCTGCTTTTACCCAATCAATAATTTCCTTAAACAAAAGAAATAAATTCTCTACACTCTTGACTGTTTCAGAAGCATCTACAGACTTCACAAGTGCAGTTCCTATAGGACCATACACTAAAAAATTAATCAATGTTCGACTACGTCTATCTATCCAACCGTCAGCCATTATAGTGCAACCATATGTAACCCAATCCTTACAGAGTTTATCAACTGACATTTGCACCTCTTAAACTAAATCCTTCAACAAATTGGTCCTACAATTATGATATGAAGGAGCTTTGTACCCTGGACCAATAGTAATAAGGACATCCAACATAGGCTGAAAATATCTTGAACACAAAGCATTCAAGGGAATACAAGCATCACACAACCACTTCATAACAGCATGGTCCACATGATTAATTGCTCCCTTAGATGCCAATACACTCTTAATTCCAGGTTGTGCACCTGGAGTGGTCCGTGGAGCAAAATGGCTTGTTATTAGCCCTGAAGATGCTTTCCCCTTTCTCGATGATATGGTTGGTTTTTTCCCTTGATAGGTATCATGTGTACTAGGTGGATCTATTTCTCTAATCTCAATATCATCGTCATTATCATTCCTTCCACATTGTGCTCTAGTGTCAACAAAATTCATTGGTTGCTTTTCACTTCTTTTTTTGTCATTGATTTCATTCAACGATTGCTCCATTTTGAACCTTACATCATGGGGTACTTTACGATAAATTGCAATCTCACATTTCCTTTGGGCAAGATGTTGTTTCATCCTATTAATCCCTCCCCCTTTAAAAGTCTTTTGACAATAAAAACATGTCATTGACTTTGATCCATTAAGAGGGTCAACTTTAAGGGAAACATGCTCCCAAGCAGAATCATTTTTTCCCCTAACATTTGATGAAATGGACTTTTGTGATGCAACTGGATCAGATGTATTAGCATTTGGACTTTGAGATTCCATCATCTTAGTTCAATCAAAGAAACCCAAATCAAAAATAAATCCCTTCACACAAACACAAAATATAAAATTTAAAACCTTGCATTGACTAAAAGAACCAACCAAAATGTAAAATCACTCCATATAAGCAAAAAATTAAGCAAATAATTAACCAAAATGTAAAATCACTCCATTAGAAATGAGAGTAAATTGCTTGCAAAACTTTCAACATCTGATCATCATATGAAAATTAAAAACAAATTAACCAGATTAATTAAATAAAGAACTAAGCATCTGATCATCAAATGAAGTTTGAGGGTTCAGCAAGGCATATAATCAACAAGAAACTGATACAAAAATACAAGCAGCAATTTTCTGCTAGTAAATCTATCAACTTATCGTCTGTTGCTCCTAATTATAAACTATAAATTATTCACTAAAAGCCTCTGCCTAGCAGGTCTAAAGCAAAATGATGAACCAAATGAAGAAGAAATAGGGGCTGATGAACCAAATGAATCAAAAAAATTAAAAAAAAATCAATTAAATCACAAAAAAAAAATTATACCTTCAGGGTTTCACTGTTGAGTGTTGGTAATGGTGGATTCGCCGCTGGTGGGCTTGGGCAGTCGGGCTTGGTCGCAGGCAAGTTGCCGCTGCAAGCCTGCAAGTGCTGAGTGCCGAGTGGATTCGCTGCCACTGCAAGCCTGCAAGTCGGGCTTGGGCTCGCCAGTGCAAATGCTGAGTGTTGACTATTGAGTGTCGTTGTTGAGTGTCGAGTGCCGCTGCAAGATCGTTGTCTGCCACTACAAGCTCGTCGTCCGCCGTTGCAAATCACCGCTGCAAGTGCTGGATCTTCTCGCCGTTGGACGCCGCTGCAAGCTCGTCAGTCGCCGCCGGATGCCGGAGGTGATGGCCGCCGCAGGTGATCGCTCGGTAGGGTGTGAGGGTTGAGAGGAGTGAGGAGGGAACTTGGGAAAATGGGAAATAACCCTAAAGCTAAAGGGAAAATCGAATAAGGATTCGAACTAGTTGGGATATAATGGGTATTTTATTTTTTATTATTTTTTTATTTAAAACATTAAAAATAAAAATCTTAACCCGCGAATCACTGCCCGGGTCGAACGGTTTAGCGGTTCGACTGCCCGGGTCAGCGGTTTTTTTTACTTTTTAACGTTTTTTTTTCAATTTTCTGGTTTCTAGTAAAACCGGACCCAGATGGCTGACCGGTTACCGGTTTTTCCGGTCCGGCCGTCCGGTCCAGTCCGGTTTTGAAAATAATGGTTGAAATACTATGTGATTGTATTTTAAGAATACCTGGCATTTACTTAGTGATGTTCAATTTGTCTGTTATATTTTAAATGTAATGACAAACTTCCTATTTGTCCTTTGCTTTCCATGTGCTGGGCCAATAAGTTACTCCCTTTTCATGCTTTCATTATATTAATGCAGTTAATTCAAGTGCTCTATGGTGGCATTTTTAATGGTTGGAATTTAGTGCCTACTATGGCACTTTCTATTGAAGGCACCATTGTGAACCACACATCTAAACTTAAGTACTCCCTTGATAATGTTGAAGGTGCCAACTGGATCAGTTGGTAAGGTCTCTGGCTGGTTATAACAGAGTCTTGGGATCGAAACCCACCTTCATCCTGGTTGGCTGTGTTTGGTTTGAAAGAGAAGGTAGGGAAAGGAAGAGAAAGGTAGGGAAACCTATACAAAGTGTTCTTTGAGAAAATGCAACAAGGTTATGTATTTTACCTGGATTATCTTTGAAAGAGAAATCCTTTGGCAGATAATTTTCTTTTTTCATTTCTTCATGTGAGTTGGAAGAGTACCCATTGATGACAGAAAAAGAATGCCAGTACGGTCAAAAAGGAAAAACAAGGCTGAAATCACTTCACTTTCATCTTTAAACTGGAATCAGTTTCCATCAGGGGATCCCATTGGGCCATCTATGTAAAGCCTTGTAATTGTTCTTCCTCAAACCTTAAATGCTATTCCGACCAACTTTCCCACTTCATATCCTCAATAACTATTTTATATGAGATGTATTTTTTTTCTTTGATCTTTCAATCTTGGCTCAGGTTCTTGACAATCTTGAGGTGCCAAGCTTGGGCTTGACTACAATTAGACTGTGTATCCAGTCTTGTCAACGAACCATAGCATTCTTGGTGGTTACACACCTATATGTGTGATCAAAGTTGTAGCTTTCTTGGTAAAACAAAAAAAAAAAAAGAAAGAAAGAAACAGGAGGGGAGGAAAGCAGTTTACTTGAGTCATTATTATGATGTGAGTCTTATCCACTATTACAGCACAATGTGCCTACTGACCAGCATTCACACACACACACACACACCTCGAGATTTTTCTTTTTGTTGTTCTGTTTCCATTGGTACTTAGCTGACTTATTCTGTGAAGAGGAGTTTCATCTCTATTTGTGGAAGCTCCATCTTCTGTGCCTGAAGGTTTGCAATTGCATACTTGATCTTGATATTTTTCAACATAAATGATGCCCATGTTCTGGTTTGTGTTTTACCTTTTCTCCCAATGAGTCCTGACTATGACATACCTAAAAATTGATAACCAATCAATGGTTAGGTTTCTGATTGGTTAGTTTCTAAGATCTGCTGCATATCAGATTTGACCTTTCAAATGACCTTATTTATACATATAATCATTTTCCAAACTATTAGATCACCTGTAAATTTCATTCTTGTGTTGAACTTTCTTCTAACAACCAGTTTTCTGGCCTTTTGTTCCTAACAACCAATTGAGTGGTCCATATTGACACGCCTCTGCCCCCCCGCTCTCTCTCTCTCTCTCTCTCTCTCTCTCTCTCTCGGCATGCTTACTGTGTATTGTTTAAATGCAGCTTTGAATGAGGCATTGAAGCAGGAGGTTGAGAGGCTCAAGATTGCTACAGGGGAAATATTGAGCCCTGCGGAGACATTTAGTTTGGGAATGCACCATATCCCATATACCCCTTCGCCATTTTTCTCTCTTCCACAACAAACAGGTTCTAGAGGACACCAGAATATTCAAGTGCCACAATTTCATCCTTCTCAGTCTAACATGGCAAGCCAACCAATGCTTGTAGCCAACACTCGTACTCTCCCGGAGATGTTGCAGCAAGACCCACTTGGCAGATTACAGGGGCTTGACATTAGTAGTGGGCCCTCACATCTCGTGAAGTCCGAAGGTCCATCAATCTCTGCTAGTGAAAGCAGCACCTTTTAACTTGAATTTGATGTCCATCTGCTGACCTACCAATATTCCTGCTCTATTTGTTAGATTGTCCATAGCCTGACACCCAGTCCCTTGTCAAATCCATTTAGCTTCATTCTTATTTATTTCCTGAAGTATCGTGATTTTTTTATTTCATTGGTATTTCTCTTGCGGTCCAGCTCTTTTTTTATTGTTTCGTTTTGTATTTTCCTTTTTAGTCTTAGTTTCACTTTACATTTATCATGCTCATCTCTTTTTTGGATAAAAGTTCACTTATACTGTGAAAGTATTTTTGAGTTCTTTCTGCATTAAATGGATACGGAGTTCATTTACCTGGTGCTTTGATGTCAGAAAAGAAACACTGTTTAATTCTTGTATTCACTTTTTTTGGTAATAATTCTTGTATTCACTTGACTTGTGGTTTGAATCTTATTCATGTTTTGAATTACTTCAAAAATAAATTCTAATGAAAAAATGGGTGTTTGGCACTGGTGTGTTTTATAAGTGTTTCATTTCTGCTGATGTGTCATGCATTCCACATCAGCAATTCAATGGAATCAGCAAGAAAATCACATTTTGCAATCAAAAACATTTTTATAATGATTAGTTTTGGGATTTGGGAAGGAGGGGTTTCTTGAAACGGCAATTATTGACATTTCTTGAATCGCCCTGAATCACCCTGATGACATGGTATATCGAAATTAGACAAAATCTGACTACTTTTCTGAGATGTCACACCTTTGTCATTATAGATATATTATAATATTAAGTCAAAACACCTTAAACGTCCAGTCGACCTGCATTTTGATTTTATTTTGTATTTCTAAAAAAAGGGTGAAACAAAACACTTGGGAATCGGGGCTCACTTATAAAACGGAATGCTTGTGAAACACTGGTACCAAACACTCACAAACAGTGATAATCTCGGCCATTCCAGTAATATATCAAAACGCCAGGCCATATAAAGTGATTTATCAAATAAAACAAAATATCGGGACCATCAAAATGGTCTCATAATGTTGATATCAATCCGAATGAAGTGATTACAAACGATGTACACACCATCACTATCCTCAACACTCCACCAATCTTGTAATGTTTGCTTTCACCAATCACCATTGACTACACGCCACTATTTGTTTAATCTCACCTTTTACCTCCTTTTATTTTTTCCACTACCATTTTCAATGACACCTCTTGTGTCTTGTACACTGTCACTTACCTTCGCTTTTACTCATGCTACTGCTCCACCATCAAATTAATACAGGGGTATTATGTAATTGAGGCATGGTTAAATCCACATGAATTGAGCTATTTTATACCCAACAGTGTTCTATACCGTGGAGGATGAATTTCATGGGTTAAACCACGTCACATCCAACTGCATTCTGCAATCTGTGGTGCAATTCAATCTATACCATAATAAGATATGACCTCATGTTAATCGCATATAACATATAATATGCATCGAAAATGTAAAACAAGTATAAATGCATACCAAATGAACAATGAATACAGAGTAAGGAAAAAAAATGTCTTTGCATGGCTGGTTGGCTATGCATGCATACCAACCATTTCAGTCCAAATTAGGATTCCATCACATAAGCAGAGTTCTGTCCTTTAGGCTGTGTTTGGTTGCAATGTAAATAAATTTGTACTGATGCAAAACTATGACAATGCAAATGATTTAGTAGGTTTTTTGGCATCGGTGCTGGGAATATTGTATCGTTCTCTTAAAATGATGTTGGGCATGTATTTGTTTGAAACCGATGCTGCCACATAGGAATTTTTTGAGAAAACAGCATTGGTTTTGTTTGGTACCAGTGCTGGCAACAATGTTTTCAACATTGATCTATATTATCCAACGTCTAAGATGATGCCACATCATTGCACCGTTGGTAGTAATGCGTTGTTTTCTCATAAAACATTGAATTTGGCATTTTTTCAAACCACACTTTCCCGATTTTCAAAGCGTGGTCTAGAGCAACGTTTTTTTCTGAAAAAGTGGTACCAAATAAGAGATCGTTGTTTGAAGCACCACTTTCTCTGATATGGAGTTGTTTTCTCATAAAACGACATCGATGCCAAACATCACCTTAAGTGTAAATTCTAACTTATTTTTGTTTCAAATTTTAGCTTATTTTGTTTGATTGCAATACAAATGAAATAAATCAAGACATGAAGCAAAATAAATTAAAACCCAAAACAAAGTTAAACAAAAATTTGCATTTTTTTTTTCATTTGCACTCTCATGCATTTGTACTAATGCAAATAAAATTACATTGCAACCAAATACAGCCTTAGACTCAATCTAAAAGGAATACAAATACAAATATATACAGTAAAAATATATACAAAATACAAAATTTTGCACTCTACTATTTGTATTTGTACTCCTTTCAAATGGAGCCTAATAGGATAAATATGAGGCAGTACAAATGGGGAAAAAGAATATTATGGAATTTTAAGATACCATCCTAATGTGGCTATTGTGTTATGCTCCTGTAATAAAATCAAGGCATGGCTTCCTGTTGTAGAAATCAGAATGATAGGTGATAATAAGGTTCAAAGTATCGATACGATATGCCCTATATCAAGCATATTGTATCATATCTTTTGATTTCTATAACCTATTTACAGGTGTTTCGAGACCCTGGTTTATTTTAATAAAAAAATCATTAAAAATCGTCTTTGAAAATCATATTAAAAAAAGACTAAAAAAAATCACTGAACATGTGGTTTTAAGTACCGATACGCCCCTGCTGATACACAGGGGCGTATCGATACTTTGAACCATGGGTGACAAGTATAATAAGAATAAGATACATAATTCGCGAGATATTTTCGTTTTCCTCTAATTTGTGCGAGTGCAAGGTGCAACTGTGCATGTGTTAGTAGTGATGCTATCCCGTAGTCCGTGCCCATTTTACATCAAATGGGTAGGATCTGGATTCAGTTCCAAATCTAGATAGGCATATATAGCATTAGGGTGAGGGAAATTGTATTTTCTATGGATTGCATACAGGTCCCATATGGTGCATCCATATCCGGTCCATTCTTTAATTTTATTACAGGCCTTATATCAAGGATGTGCATATAGGACAGCATTCATATCTGGTCCAAACTGTGTTCAAATTATTGGTTTTGGGATTTTTAAGAGGATATCAACTGTTGAATATGAGTATGGATATGGAGTGTTAGGCCAACATGCTCCATGCCCTTATTCATAAGCTCTTGGCACCTTGTTTGGTGGTGCTAATACCTCCTTCTCTATCATCTCAATAATCTTTTTTAAAGCACAAAGGGTCCGTTTTGGTTTGCAGCCAAAATCAGAATTGTGAAATCTGTATTCTTTGGAATAGAATCAGAATGGTCTATTTTCATAGTCTCTTTGGTTCAAATACGAATGGGAATTGGAATCAGTATTAGGAATAGGATTTCATTTCCAATGGAGGGGAGGGGAGGGGAGGGGATGGCCATTCCATCAAATGGGGGAATGCCATTCCACCAGGAAAGGGAATGGAATTCCGATTCTGATTCCAGACTTCTATTCCCACGAATCAAACGGGGCCTAAGTGGAACTGTGTACCACACTGTAACATTTCTTCGTAATTGTAAGTTTCTTGGATAAATAAGTAATTAACTTTTTTAGGTATCATTGCCTTTCCAGTATCTTAATCAGATTCTTCTTATCTGCTCTACTTCCTTCCTTTCAATCTCAGTGCCCATTTGGGAGGGCTAAAGAACAGCAGCTTTGGCTTTCCAAGATGGGTCCTACATGGACATTCTATAAATTATGTTGATAAAATATCTAAATAACCCAAATCTAAATAGGATTAGCTGAATGCAATAACTATTCAGCAGGCTGTGTAACTAATGATAACACTCCACACCAGTCACAAAATACATATGCCCCACAATCTCTCTATGGGCTTATATATTTTATCACTGGTATGGAGCATTATAATTGATTCCCCAGCCACTACACAGCCATGGCATTCAGTTAATCCAAATTAACCCAAATCAACTATCAATCAGTTATTTAAAAGGCTGTCCATTTCAGCTTATTTGAACAGCTTATCGGGAGTGATTCAAAGTATATGAACTATTAGTTTGAACTTTCTGCTCAAACTTCCCAAATAGACTTTTTTTCTTGTTTTAAATTATGGTTACAATCGCTTTTCATGGTGGATTATAAGGGTTTTTTTTATGGGGTGGCTTTAACATCTACTGAAAAGTGATTGTATAAACAATTTAATAGAGCTAAATTTCTCCCCAAATGGGCCCTCATTTGTTCTCCTTTAAAAGAGCAATGGGAAAGATGTACTAGGCATCCATAGACCTATTCATGGGTCCGGTAGCCCAACAGGTTATTCTGGCTCGGCTCATTTTTTATTAGGTTTGGACAAAATTTTTCAAATAAACCTTGCCTGGGGTCAAATTCAGCCAAATAATACTACATTGAGTAAAAATATAATAAATATATACAATATATATTAATTTATTAAAGTACACCATATATAGGACTTTTATGTCCAGACCAGACTTTTGACTTTATGAACCCACACTCAGTCTCAGGCCTAGACATTTTCTATTAATAAAGAGAATGAAGAGACAAAACCCAACCCAACCCGTAAACAGGTCTAGTATGTCCAATGGAAAAAAGCATCACAAATAGTATAATACATCTAAAACTCCTGTCACCTCATGTATTTAAAACTTATAGCTGGGTAGTAAGTAGAAATAAATGAGGAAACCTAAGAAATTTATTGGCCGCGTATCAGCTGCATTCAGCAGTTGTGATTGGAATACGAAAGCAAACCAATTTGAAGAGTACAGCCAATATTATCATAGAAATATTTCAGTTGAATCAAGCAAAGACATGCCAAAATTAGACTCGGCCCAATTTGATTGCTCCCCTAGATGAGTGGCAAAACTATATCGGACAGGGTTCCAATAGGTGACAGAAAAGTAGATAGAAGAGATTATTGGGGCAGATTGAAAAGAAATTGGATGGAAATGATTTAATCACTCGCACCGAATATAATGGAATGACAAAGACGATTCATGTATCTGATTCACGATGAAAAGGACTCCCAACTGCTACTATAAAAGTCCATTTATTATCCTAGAAAATGAAAAAGAATGTTCATTTTCATACCCCCCTCACCATTCTCTTCCAAGGGTTAATTTTGGCTGTTGGGACCCAATAGCAAAGGAGGCTGTTGAGACAGTTTCTGGGCAGGGCACGTTCTGGGCAGTTCATCCATTCATGCCCATACTTTGATTTTTAATAAAAATAAATTAATATATAATTGTTAATTTATCCATTCTTATAGTGACGTGGTATTATCAGAAATTCTCTCAACAGCTTATGCTGTTGGCCCTCGACAGCTAAAGGTTTTCCATCTTCCGGTACCTTTATTTTAATAATGAGTTTGGATTTCCTATCCAGGACAATTCTACCCATGCCTATCCACATAACATTGCAACCATACGTGGGGAATATCTCATATTCTCTTATATGTTATTATATACAAAAAGATATTCCCAATGCACAGAAATAATGTTTCATGAATAAATATGAATAGAGTTATTGTGGATATGGATAAGAGGTCTAGAGTCTATTTTAATTGGGTGAAAAGAAAAAAATAGAAAAGGCTACCAAATGCCGGGGCCGTCTCCCCCGGAAGTCCATATATAAAAGTATTGTGATTTAAAAATCAACGCTTGCTGTAGTATTACGTTGATTTTCATGTACCTTTTAGTACTGCAGTATACACCTTTTTATTGCAGCTCGTATTAGTTGTTAACAAGACAAACTTGTCAATCTAGATTATGAATTAGTCTGTAAGGGTGAGTTTGGAAAGAGTACAAATGCAAATATGTACTGTATAAATATATAAAATAATGCAAAATATAAGGTTTTGTACTCTTTCCAAATAAAGTACAAATGTAAATATATAGAGCGCAAAACCTTATATTTTATATTATTTTGTATGTATTTATACTGTACATATTTATATTTGTACACCTTCCAAACTGAGCCTAAGAAAATTATTTGTAGATACTAATTTACTTGCATTGACAGATGAAAATGATGTTCAATGATTAAAGAGATTGATGAGATGATAGAGATTTTAAATTAAACGTTACAGCAAGAAAAATGTCTGTCACTTGATTTCCTTCAAAGTTTAAGGGTGCTTATTCTCAGTTTGTAAAAAGTGTAAATAGTGCAAAGCCTTATATTTTGTATTTCTAAACCTGTATTTGCATTGTTATTTATACTTGTTTCAAAATGAGTTCAATTTGGAAAGAGTGTAAATACAAGGTTTGAAAATACAACATATAAGGCTTAATTTGCACTGTACATATATTTATTTTGCACACTTTTTAAATTAGGGCTCAAGGAGTCTGGATCTAAGTAGAGTCTATCACTTACAGTATGTTATATTTCTAAAGCTGTATTTTCAGTATACATATTTGTGTATTTGTACTTTTCCCAAATTGAGCCTAGCTAATGTTTAGCATGAATTCTGTATCTCACACCAAATCCGGTTTTCCTTTGACATAGTGACATAGTTGCGACTTCAATATTCATGCCCATAATAAATTCCCCTCTCAAATTTTTTGTCTGGGGTCGCAATTTTTAGCCCTTAAGACTCAAAATTAAAGGACATAGACTTTTAATTTGAGAGGACAAAAGGATTATATATCGAGTTAGCAAGACCTAGCAGATTGAGACCAGGAATTAATTGTGTATTAGTGTAAGCTGGTGGGAGTGGGACTCCCGCCGGTGAAGTGGTGGTGATAGTCTGACTCCGTAAATTCAGAGGAGAATGGTGGATCAAGATCTCTTGGTGGTTGCAGTGTAGATGATGAGATGGTTTTCAGAGAATGAGATGAGAGAGAGAGAAATTCATGTGGGTTTCTCACTTTCTCCTCCCCCTAGGGTGGGTGTATTGTTAATGGGCATGATGTTAATGAGTCTCCATATTGGATGTGGGGCCGATTTTAGGATTTTGGAATTCTAGAAATTTCCTATGCCCTGTCTTTGCCTATTTTGTCCCCTTATCAATTATTATTCCAGACGATACCATTCTACAATCTATGCAATCTGACGGTCTGGCACGTCCTGTTTGCAAAGTTTAGGCCCGAGAGAGAGAGAGAGAGAGAGGTCCATCGTCCATGCATTGTTACTATATATATGTTAAAAAGGATTGAAATTTGCAATGACATCGGGCACCGCATGCGCATCTCCCATATCTCCAGATACAAGGGGATGCGCATGTGGCAATAAAAGCTCAGTCAAAGGACAACCCCGTGCCTCCGTGGCAAATTAATTTAATTATTCATCTGCTTCCAAGATTGCAGAGCTTACATGAGAGTTATTTCCCAGTGTCTCCACTTGAGTGATCTTTGCGCATCTCATGGCCGGCCCACTCTGCTCTCTCACGTTTCAGTCTATATACAATCTTGGTCTGGAACTCCCGATTTTTTGTTGTAATGACCATTATTTACTGAACAGATTACAGATAGATGAATGAATTATGGGCTTATGGCCTTGTAATTAGGTTAATTTCCAAAAAGAAAGAAAGAGAACAAAAATACAACCATTGGCATACTTGAAGTTCAATGTGAGAAAAACATTTCCTATGACGTTGTCACATGCGAATGCGACCGAATTAAATGCAATACAGCAGCAGCGACCGATTGAAATAAAATAAAGGGAAAATTGAATTGATGTGATGATTTGAATTAGGGTCTGTCTCCTGCCACCTGAGACATGTATTTCCCAAGGTTCAATGTGTGTAGGTACCATTTTCTGGTTATTGATACGTGGGCCTGCCTCTCTTTCGGTTCAGTGATATCCGTAGAGGAACTTGAGCGCAAGTGATTATTTTATTCGTACGTATTGCTGCTGTCTCAGCCTAAGCTAAGGATTCAATATGTTGAAAGTGAAAAACAAGATGTCATGTCCAAATCAAGTCTTATAATTTGGGTAAACAAAAGTACAAAACACAACCCATAATAATGTGAATGAATTTAAAAAGGGAAATGAAAAACCTGTTATCCTATCATATGGATTAATTAACTAAAAAACCCCATGAGAGAATAGAATAGTTTTCATTCCTTTTCCAAATGTATATATATATATATATATATATCGCCACATTACCAATATTGATCCCGCTCGCTTTCGGAAATGATAGTAAATATATATATTAAATAATCTCTGCATATATCATATCCTAGAAATTAAGCCCTGATTTCATTTTATGGTAAATATATAGCCAAATCACATCTATTTTCTCCTTTGATTTTCTAATTAAATTGCCATAATTAAACTGGGGCTAATTAACGAGTAAATATGTTTTGCACAAGACGATAAACATATATAATTTATTTACTAACTCCACGGTATTTGATTACTTGACAAGGCATTAGGCATTAATTGTACCGATCGAGGCCGTGTCATGTTACATGACCCAAGGCTTTAATGGAAGCAAGAACATAAAACAGAACAAATTAAGTGACGCAAGAGTAGGTACTTTGTAACTAATTAATACTAGATAGATAGCTATATAGATTGTAGATTGCGTACATCTCCACATTATTATTAATTATCAGCCATGCATCCTGCATAACACCCACTACGCCCATAGAGTTTTGGAGTCCAAATTCCTTGGAGCTAGATGCGAGCTTATCTCACCCTGTTACACAAATACCAAAAGCTAGCTGAAATTAGTAGAGGTGGCTTAATTAGATCAGATTCAGAACAACGTACTTTAGTTTGCAATATAAGAACAAGGAGAAGGAGAAGAAGAAGAAGAAGAAAAAAGAGAAACCTGGAGCAGTCGGTGGAGGGACTGATCTTGTAAGGAATGCGGACCCTACATCTGCCGGGGAGAGAGGCAGCGAGAGCAAGCTTAAGACCTCGTATGCCGGCAGAGGCGGACTTGATGCATCCGCAAGCAGTCCTACGATCCCGCGTGGTGCGCGCCGAAGCGCTAAGTCCCCTCACACCTCTGCAACACAAAGGAGACACAGCCCCTCCCCTCACCAAGTAGGTGATGCAGGGAGCCAGTTGGCTTGTCACCTGCCCACACGATATCCCTGCATCCACACCCACTACCACCACCATTATTATGAATACAACCTTTAACATTCCAGACCTCGCCATGCCTACCTATTATATATATATATATATATATATATATATATATATATATATATATATATATATCAATAATACCTATCTCTCTAATCTCTAATCTCTAAATAGCTAGCTATTCTCTATTGGCTGCATCACCTCTATCTCCTGCCCTCTTCTTATAGATCGACATTTGAGAGCAGAGCAGGCCTGGGAAGTTGTGGTAGTTATGTTTCGCTTTTTAATTAATGCTCTTTCCCATTTTCTGCTTCAATCGATCATTGATGCATGGGGTCGTACGAGAAAAACCAAACACTATTCCTTCGATCGGCCATGTCCACGAATTGAACTGCCGAGTGCTAGGTACAATATTCTCTTGCAATGGAGAGTGGAAACTCTCTGTCATCAACTACCCCCCCATATTCTCTTCTCTGTGGGTCGGTGGCCATTTCCATCTAGCAATTATGGTGCCTTAAACATCTGATGGCAATGGGAATTGCACCCAGCTATCTTTCCGTTAATTAAAAGCATCATTCTAGACGTTGTTAATAGTACTGAAACAATTCTAATTAATTCGACCCGGCCTAATCTTTATCTGCTTAATATCGCATCCTTACTTCGATTTTAAAACACACAAATACGTTTATGAGTTTACAGTACACTCTGGCAACATTAATTCTTCTTCTACTTTCAAATCTTAAACCTTGTAAAAAAGAAATCAATAAAATTCCGTCTCATGAATCCGTTCTTATTTTCAGCGGTCGGACTACAGGCCATTACACCATTCTTAATAAAATATACTTAGCATTCTAGCCTTCTGGTTCTGCTTGTTAACCTTCACCGATCCTCATAAACATCCCAGGCTGAAGTATTAGGTCAGACACAAAAACAAGTGATGTGTTTGTGCGCTGACCCATGAAGCATGATGTGGAGTTGTTTAATTGGAGCCTCTGATTAACAAATCGGATTTCTCCATTGATCATATCATCTGCCCATGTGACAGATGAAATAGGAAATGCCTATCGAATTGTTCTATGTTGACCTTGACCGCTAACGACCGGCCCAGTAATCATCCCAATAGCAATGTAGCAGCTAGGGATAGCCCAAAAGAGCTCCACATGTTTGTCTTACCTTGCTTCAGACTTCAGAGACACATGTAATTAATAGAAATGTTTACTACAATTAATTCCAGTCACGAGTCTCGACCCCACCCCCTCCATGTGCCACTCCTCTTGTTTTGCTCATTGAATAATCAAATATGCACTACATTCCGAGAGTAAGTTCTCCCATACCAAAATACTCCCAAGGTTTTAATTACTTTGTGTCATTAAGTTTACCCAAACTGTATTTCAATCCCAAATTTGAGCCAAAAAAAAAAAAAAATTTGAGCATTATAATCTAAAGTGGAAACGCTTTTAAACCTCAATGCACAAAGCTTAAAACAAATTTAAGAGTGATCACTTTTAGCCCACATAAGCCCAGCCCAGTCCACACATTTTTATATATGTTATATAAACATAATTAAATTTATGTATATATGTTATATTATATTTTATATATAAACTAGTAAAGGCTAGTGAGCTTTGTTAAGCGAAAGCTAAGGGTAAATTATCGATAAGTACCTTGTACTTTGAGGGTAGAAACACTTAGGTACCCCGAACTTTCAAAAATAGACACTTTGGTCCATTTTCATTAACTCATGTTATAGTTTTTGTAAAGTTATTGAAATGCCCATATTTTTTTAAATTTTTTAAATCATAAATTATAAAAAGACCAAAATAACCCTGATTAAAAGTTGGAGGGCAAAACAGTCCATAAACACATGAGAAGGGTAATTTTGATATTATAAAATGTTTAACTGACGGAATACTAACAAGTGGACCCAAGTGTCTATTTTTGAAAGCTCGGGGTCGGGGTACCTAAGTGTTACTACCCCCAAAGTACAAGATACTTATCTGTAATTTATCCGAAAGCTAAACAATAAAAACATATAAGAGTAGACAATTGCTTTACATTTTAACTTTTTAAATCATTAATAACTATTTATACTTTATATTCTGTTTTTAATATTTTTTGTAATACAAAAATAACAATAATTAATTTCAGTTGGGGTTGTTCATCAAATTGATAAAATCGACCAAACCAACTGACCCGACCCAATTCGACCTGAGTTGGTCAGTTTTCTAGTATTTTCGTTCAGCTTCAGTTCAGCAATTTCTCAACCCGACTAAGTCGGGTCAAGTTCATTTTGACCATTTATAAACCGATCAAAATCAAACCAACCCGACCATAGATATATATTAATATTTTATATTTTAATATGGAAAAGTGTGAAATATTTCATATTTCTTAGTCTAAAATATTGTATATTGTAAATTTAAATTTTTTAATAATACCATTGTATTTTCTAATTCAAATATAATTTTAATTAAGTTTAAATCTTTTGAACTGATTGACCAAACTGAAACTTGACTCAAACCAATGCAACTCGACTTGGCCAATTTTCACTATTGGTTGGTCAATTTATAACGATACCTGTAATATTATATGCGATATAAAATAAATTTTATATGCATATTTTATGGTATTATATATTTAATATTTTATACACAAAATTTATAAACCCATAATCAGATCTGACCCAGCCCAACTAGCTTATGTTTCAACTCTAGACCCAAGTTATAGCCCTTACCACAGATGCAAATTAAAACGTGGCCCAGCCCATGATCACCCCTAGGCTTTATACTTAGGGGCTGTAAAAGCACAAATCTTGAAGCTTACCCAAACGCAACCTTAATGACCAAGCCAAAAATTAACGTTGTATCTTGTATGTCTCAGGAGATAACATACATTACATATTACGCGTTTTAATGTATGAAGAAAAGTAAATAAAATTTGCTAAACCTAGTGGCAATAAATTCGTGACAAGAAAATAAAGATACCTCCAACAAAGTGCACTTGCATTTGTTACAATCCACCTACCCTATTCATCGCTTGAAAAGAAAATAAAACTTTTTATTATTAACTATTCATAATGGGTGAGCATGGGTTGATTAGGTTCATGGCAGAACTTGGAGCCAACCCAATAGGGGTCGGTTTCAAGTTTTTAGAACTGGAACTTACCTTGTGAAGGTCGGTTCTAGGGTAGGTTCTGGTTTTAGCGTTTCTGGGGTCAGTTTCAGGGTTTATCCATGGAACCTGTTCTTTCTTTCCTATCCTCCTTGGAAAAAAATAAAACATATTTTTATAAAAACTTGTCTTTCAATAAATATAATATATAGTTTAAATTTTACATTATTTTTATTGATGAAATTTAGTAATTTAATATGTAGATTATCATGATATATTAATGTATTGTTCAAAACTTAAATATTAACTATTTCATTATTTTTTATACACATTCAAATATTAAAATGTAAACAAATAATCAAATCACTTAAGTCAATGGTCAAGTGAGAGTGTGAGACCATGGCCTTTGTAACTGAGTGCTTAGGTTTAAATCTTTACATCCTCAAGATTATTTTGGGGTTTATTTCAAAACAAATTCAGTTCTAAGTCCAGTTTATTGACTTGGTTCGGATAGATTAAACCCTTAGACCCTAAAATCGGCCTATGTGGGGATCAATTACAAGAATTTAAAACCAAAACCAACCTATAACAAATTAGGTTAGATCAGTTTAAACCCAATTCAAGATCAGTTTCATTCAATTCTAGGTAAAAACTTGTTCATTTAATCACACCTAGATACATCTTGGTCTGTATGTACTTTGCAGCATACACCTACTCTTTTTTTTTTTGTTATTTTTATATAAAAAAAAGTTCAACCTGTCAGGGGATAGGTTTTAGACTTGTCTACAAACCTACCTCTAAAATATGTCCAATGTCTAGAACATCTTATATTTCATGTGTCCGTAATTCAACCTATACGTATTAGCCGATACGGTTTTGAACCTTGCTGGCTGTGATATATGTGCCGAGTGCCGACAAAGTAATAATACACCCAATATGTTCTATATATTATGGTTAATAAATTCAAATTAAAAGTCCCTCTTTTTCCTTCATTTTCTCCTTTCTTTTCTTGTTTTTTTTTTCTTCATTTTACATGCGTTTTGACAAAAGGGTTACTTGTTCTTGGATTTTGTATTGGGCTTTCAATACTGGTGGGTGTTGCTTTACATTTTTTCCGTCCATGGTTAAATCCGTTCGTGGTTCTCTTGGCAGAAGTAATTCATAGTCAGTTCCATTCGAAATTCTCCGACGAATGTCGTTTTGGAAAGCAGTTATAATATCTGGTATCGATTGTAATGTTTGGGGCTCTGTCCTCTTCCGCGGATCTACCCCAACTATGCAAAAGGTCATTTATTCTCCTACATCCATTTATATATTTTGTTTTTGAGAAATTGTATTTGGGTCCTGATTGGCCTTGTTGGCAAATGTATGTACCTGTATCAATTTTTTGAATGAATGAAATATGATTTTAGCCTTCAAAAAAAATATAAGATTACAATTTCATTTCGAAGACCTAATTGTACCCGGTTGCCGATAACTCCTCGCTTCATAAATCACTGTCAACACCTCTGGATGCCTCCGAACAATTTTCTATTGATCGGTTCGTCCCCAAATTAATCTTGTTATTATTTTCATATCTTAGGGTTCGTTTGGTTCGCAGTTGGAATCGGAATTGGAATGGATTACTCCCATAATCTGTTTGGTTCAAATGGGAATGGGAATAAGAATTGGAATCAGCAACAATGAGATTTCATTCCCAAGGGGGGGAAGGGAATGACCATTCCCTCAAATGGAGGAATATCATTCCAATAGGAATGGGAATGTGATTCCAATTCCGCCCAACCAAACAGTTGGAATCGGAATAGCCCATTCCGATTCCAATTCCAGACCCCTATTCCTACAAATCAAACGGGTCTTAGGGTTCATTTGGTTCACAGTCGGAACCAGAATGGTCCATTCCCAAAGTCTGTTTGGTTTAGACAGTAATGGGAATGGGATTTCATTCCTAAGGGAGGGGCAGGGAATGGTCATTCCCTCGAATGGGAGAATGTCATTCCAACAGGAACGGGAAGATTCCGATTCCGCCCAACCAAACAATTGGAATTAGAATGACCCATTCTGATTCTGATTCTAGACCTTTATCCCAATGAACCAAACGGGGCCTAGTAGTACTGGTAGATATAAAATTGCTGCTATCTAGGCTGAAACTAAGCCAATAATTAGTCTTAAAATACATGTATTAATTGTACCCATTTCCTTTTTTTGAATATCACATTTTGATAATAATAATCTATTAATTTATCTTTGGGGGGGGGGGGGTGCATTTGTTTTTTGGATTTTGAGAGGGAAGAAAGTTGGTCAATGGTATTCACAATCCTATTGACCAAGAAACCCATGTTCTCTTTTCAGATTTATCTAGGGACCAAAGAAAGTTTATTTTTGGTATCACTTCTAGTGTGGATAAATTACTTTTCCACCTAGGAGAAAGTTGTCAATACTTGGATAGGACAGAAATGTCGCTATTAATCATAGATTTTTATAATTAATATGGTCATTATCTTATTTACTTGAAAATTTTAAAAACATGAATAAATGCAGGATAGGAATCACTTATCCGGATAAATTATTTACCAAAAAAACAAACAAAGCCTTGATATACTTAAAATTTGGATTGAAGGGGTTTGCTTATAAATATAAACTGTGATTAATTTGTAGGTCATGGAATATTCGGTTTACATAGAGTGTAGTTTTTTTCAGTGTAAACTCCATCAAATCGCATTTACACCGAAAACAAATGAAGCCACAGGAGGAGAAGAGAAGACTTAATTTGAATCTTGGAAAGCTATAATTAAAACGTACCACATATGCAGAGAGGTGCATATATAATTCTAAATAAATATATACATACATATATATATAATTTATTACATAGGATATTTAATTTCAACATCAAACAAGCATGATACCATTCAAGTAAAAACAATACAGCAGACACTACACACTGGCACAGGCGCTGAGATCAGTCAGATGAGCAACTCGATCTTTCCTCTCAACCTTCTTGTAATCTTAAATTCTACATTAATTGTAAAACGCTGCTTCATCAATTTTACTCATCCACTTCACTTCACCCTGTAAAAGTAAAACAATAAGACAAATTAAGGTGAGAGACGAGTAATTAAATTTCAAATTACCGCCCCCCCCCCCCCCCCCCCCCCCCAAGTTGACCCAATCGACAAACACACAAACAGATAAAACCCGGCCACTGATCAGCTAGTGGCTGGAAGATGAGATCTAAACACCTGCGGATCTGGTACAAACATGAAGTATACAACGGACTACTGAACCCATTCAGATTTAGAAGTAATTAAATACATCAATAATCCATACTAATACCAGATGAATATACAACAACTGATGACCTGTTTGTTTAATCCTGAATTCTGATTGGGTTTCATCGTCCGTTACCGTTGTACACATGGAAATGGAGCCGCAAGGTTGGAAACCTGAAATCAATCATGGGTCCTAAATTCTTTCTAATGAAACAACGGGATTACTGTTCCACTCGGTATAGTCGGTACATCAAAGAAGAAAGAACACTCCCGCCCCGCGAAATATTCAGAGGATCTACTTCATCCGGCATCCTGTGTTACAGAGATTTTCTTTCCATGGGGCTACACATACAAACACAACCGATCGATCGAGCTGAGCGAAGCTCATCCCCATCCCCATCCCCTTAAGCTTTAACACAGGTAAGGTAGGTGTTTACCTTGAGCAGTCGGTACTGGGGCTGATCTTGTAAGGGAGATTGACGCCACATTTGTCAGCGAGTGAGGAGGCGAGAGCCGGTTTGATTCCAGGGACACCAGCGGCGGAAGACTTCAAGCAGATACATGTGGTCTGGCGGTCCGCCGTGGTTCTAGCTGCTCTGCTAAGCGTCCTCACGCCACTGCAGCATTTGGGTGGCAGCGGCCCGCCCGTGCGCAGGTAAACGATGCATGGACTAAGATTGCTAACTACCTGACCACATGATATGGCAGCCACCTCATTCGGTGCAGCAGCGATCACCATGAACCCGAGAACGAGAACAAGGCTGGCTCGCTTATTAACTACTCCTAATGACCTGGCCATGACTCCACTCCTATCCCTTCCTTGTTAGGCTTTGCAGAAAACACTGAGAGAGAGAGAGAGAGAATAAAGATGAATAATGAAGTAGCAAATGGAATTGGGAGTAGTAAATTAAAGCCAGATTTTGTTCCTAGTTGAGTATAATTATATTTCATTTCCATTATATATACTAGTTCCTATCCGTGCATTAATTGAGTGGCTCATTGGTATGTTAGCTTTTTTGCAAATACGTAGGATCATTCCTGAATCTGAGAAAAAAGGAATTATCAGTGGTGCATGGCACCAAATACCACACGTACATCGCACAGGTATTATTAAGAATAATCAAGCTTATTCGAGTTACGTTGATGATTTCATGGGAGCATTGATCTTTTGTAGCCCTTGTGTTGGTTTAGTTTAACTGACACCAGAAAGGCATACTGCCTAAATATCTTACAAACCAATCAACCATATCATAACATTGGCATTGGCAATGGTGTTCATCACATTTCAAGGTTCCGATGTCATATTTTTTGGCATCATAATTAAATACAATAATTTATATTTACATAATTATAAATCATATATTACATATGTTTAATTCAAAAAAATATGATACCAGCAGAAAAACTTATAAATAACCAGTATCATGATAGTAGTAACAAATCAAATGGTATTCAGGGGGTTTTGAGCCCTGAAATCTCTTTTTCTTTTTAATGCCTATTGGTAAAAGCTATTTTGGTATCATACCGTATTAGCACGTCGGGGCACAAACTACAGCCTTTATCACATGTACTGAGCCCAGCTTGGTCCATGACCATCACCGTTATTTCATAGGATGCTTGGGAAGTTGATTAAAACTGTTTAGAGATGTCTTATACCTTTTTCTACTTTGACTCCATGAGGCCAGATCATTGGGACCAGCGTGGGAGGGTTAAATCATTTTGGGATCAGTTACTATCTATACATACAAAAAATAAACGGTAAAAGCGAGAATTAACCCCAACTCTCCTCACCAACATTGGCTGAAACTCAACGTGGATGAAGCAGTGCCCCATAGACCATGGTTCATCGCCGATACAGATGAACCACTAGCATATGCATGTGTAACAATAAAATATGCAATTAAGTACTTTCGCTTTCAAGCTAAGGGCTGGTTGAAGAGTCCGAGGTCGGATATGCCCGAGGGCTGGTAGGTCAGACTACGAAGAGAGAGGACATAAGAGGCCTCGAGTGCTAACTTGAGGTAGAGATTCCGACAGTCAAATTAGTACAAGGGTATTAGGAGGTGGACGAAGTCTGAGTAAGAAGTGCTCAGACGAGGTCACACAAAAAGTTGGAGAGGTCTTACTAATCCAGAGTCTAGATGTTTACCTTGAGAGGGTTGCCCCCTATTTATACTCGAGGCCGCCTGAAGGTAAATAGGCTTAGACGGTCAGGATGCAGTCTAGCCCTAAGGAGCGTGGCCATCCAAGGCCACTATGTGCAGCCGAGCTATTGACCCCGCATCATGCACTGAGCTCTATTCCACATGCACCCTCATTGGGTCCACCTGAGCGCCGCCACCTGCCACGTGCATGCATACTATTGGTCCGGGCCATGTGCGCGTACACCATCTATAATGTTGAATTGTTGACCACCAGCCCCAGCCCAAGTTCATTTACATAGATGCACCACCGTCCACCGTTGAAAAGTAGACTCTACCGACGACAAGTTTAACCAACATCTCCCTTTCCCCGTAAAGGGTAGCATTGAATATAGTCTTCATTTTAGACCCTACCACATTAATACTATCAACCTATTTCCTTGGAATCTGCTTCCTACCTCATCACTACCATTTCTAAAATTAATTCTTATCAACATTAATGAATAGTATGGTTAACTATAGTACAACCGGATCGGATCAGACAGTCGAATCGAAAAAACCGGGAATTGATCATTTGATTGATTCTGTTTTTCTCTAAAACTGTTGAGTTTGGTCAATAAACCGCTGAATTGGCTGATTAATTGTTCAAACAGTTTTGATCGTTTTCCATTTTTTTTTTATTTTTTGTCAAAACAGATTGGTCGTTCGAGTCAAATGATCAGACCGTTCAAATAAGTAACCAGACCCCTGATCGGTTCAATCATCAGTTCGTTTTTAAAAACCATGAAAAATAGACCATGATTGAACAACCTGAAAATTACAAACATGTTTACTTTAATTTACATGTCAACCATTCGAATTTAATTTGTACGTAAATTAATCCACAAGAGGATCTTCAAGAGAAAACAAACACACACACACAATGATTGTCTTTTTTTGTGTATTTCATTCAGTTGGATCTGCAGGTTCAACGTGCAAGAAAAATCGGGTAATAAAAACCAAACCAATATTTAATTAAATTAATTTTTTTATGAAGTATGTGATAATATTGCCCATGTATGACATCTGAAAAGAAAGATGCAGATCGATCTACTAGATTGGTAGATGTAGGAGTACTAGTGTATTGGTGGGATTATTTAGTTCAGAATGGGCCAAAATATCGCAATAAAGTGGGTCCTTGTCCCTTGCCCCTCCCAAAACTTGAAGTAAATGTAAAAAATCACTCTCAGCTCCTCCAATTCCGAACATTAGTATATATCTTTAAAATTTGAAAAAAAAAAAATCTGTAACGATTCTTACCTTTCAGGCCATTTTTATGCGTTTAAGGTGGTGTTCGGTATCGTGGTTATCCACGATATATTGTTAACATTATTTTATTAATATTGTTAATTATTGTTAATATTATTTTATTAATCATTAATTATTAATATTAATAATTATTTTTTAATTATTATTACTAATTTTAGTTAATATTAATATCATTATTTGTTATTAAATATTATTATTATTATTTTTAGTACTATTAATTATTATTAATATTATTTTTATTAATTATTAAATTTTTTTATAATTTATTAATATTTTCTAGTACATATATTACTAAAAAATAAAATATTGTATTTTAATGATTAACGATATGTTATAGTTGAAATGCATGAAATCAATCACAAGATATGTACAGAGATGTGCCAAACCTTAAAAAATACGCATTAAGGATCAGTATACAATATTGGAGTATGATGTATTTTCGTCCACACTATATCACACCACCCAATTTCTCATCAACTTTACATAACACTCCCTAAATCCATTAAACATAAACGCGTTTACGCATTTCATTGATAGCCATTTTTATGAACCCGCAGCATATCCCAAAAGTTGCCATTATATGTTATTACCCCTTTTATTTTCGTAACTTGTGGGGGCCATCATAGAATCATTTAATAGTGCAATGCATACACGAATGCCATGTCACGTCAGAAATAAACCTATTCACGTGCGGTGCATATACGAATGCCACCCGACTTATGAACAGGTCTAGTCAGAAGTCAGAAGTGAGTGAGTTCCGTAATCCCTGCCTTCAAATTCAAATTCATTCCGGCCCAGGCACGTAGCCTAGCGCGCAGAAGGCTGAAAGACCGAAATTGCATTTGGAATCGGAAGAACCCGAAATGAAGAGAGAGAGAATAAAATATTAAAGAGTGGTGTGACTCTTTAATAAATATATAAAATATTATTTCGTACAACCACAACCACAACAATAAACACTACAGACACTACAAATGGAATGGGCAAAGGGCACTCGCTCGGGTGGGGCCCTCCAGCGTCTCAACGACGTCCATTTTATTCTCGTAATAACTCTACGTAGTAAATCTAAAACTTTCCATCAATTTCACCTTCACTTCACCCTGTAAAAAATTTACATATATGTCAGAACTCAGAAAACAAGTGAAATTTCCAATCAATAAAGACGCACAACTAAATATGAATTCAATGATGTAGCAAAGAAAACTAAATATGAATTCAATGATGTAGCAAAGAAAACTAAATATGAATTCGTGTAGCTACATAAATAGCAGTATAGCACTCACTCTACCACCACATATATATATATATATATATATGTCTGCTCCTGGAAGATATGTCGATTTCCAGACAACCAAAAAAATCGTTGCCTTTTAAATTAATAAATGGACTCATCTAATCGTGTCTCGTTTTGCTTACTATTCCTATTTTTTAGAATTTGATGTGATTGATGTTGACCAATCAATGGGAAACCTGCGATTAATTCTACGTGGGTTCTAATCTAATTATAAAGACGGGCCTAACATCACTTATTCACTATCTAATTAATGTAGTTGAGGGCAAACACCCCCTCGTCTCTCCCCTCCGAGTTACCCGTCACAACTCACGACTCACTAGAGAGAAAGAGAGAGAGAATTGTAGTTGTAGCCTTGTAGGTAGGTGTGTGAATGAAGAAGCATACTTGGAGCAGTCGGTGCTGGGGCTGATCTTGTAAGGGACGTTGACCCCACATTTGGCAGGGAGTGAGGAAGCCAGACCGGCTTGAATTGAAGGATTACTGACGGCTGCGGACTTCAAACAGTTGCAGGCGGTCTGACGATCCGGCGTGGTCTTTGCCGCACTGTTCAGAGACTTCACACCGCTGCAGCAGGCGGGTGGCACAGCCCCGCCTTTTTGCAGGTAATTCAGGCATGGTGCAATACTGCTAACTACCTGCCCACACGTTATGGCAGCCACCTCCTGATGAGGTGCAGCTATCACCATCACCGCTACAACAAGGCAGGCTACCTTCACAACTCCTGAGCTCGCCATCGCTGCTATACAATTACTGTCTTCCTCTTTCTACACTCACTCACTTACCTCTTGTAGACTCTGTGACTCCTAAGCCTTTCCAGCTAGTGTTTATATAGACTTCCCAAGTGAGGGAGAAACACACACAGGCACACAGCAATAAGATGGAGTAATGAAGTGATAGTTGGTGGTTGAGTGTAATTAAATGCTCTTGATGTTTACCTTATTTATATGGGATATATATATATATATTTTTTATTTTGTTTATAAAATTAGTAAATTAACCCCCTATCAGCTAGCTAACTGGAAGTGGAAACACAGAATTCCACTTCCACAGAATTCCGCTTTATATGGTACCGTTCACTTCACAGAGTCAGAGAGACACTGTCACAGTCACAGATGGATTTATCATTCATTCCCATAGATTCATGCATGTGTCTAACACAGAAGGAGGTTTATGTACTTAATTTGGGAGCTTCTTTTGAGTTTTAGCACAAGTTGTTTAATTTCCACTGCCCAAAAAGAAAGAGTGAAATGACCGCATCATTAATTAAGTTCTATTCAAGCTAGGCTGACTCGAGTGAAACCGGATTCAGTCGGTGCAAAGTCCATTAAAACAGTCATTATAGCCTTGCTTGAAACAGAAAATTACGGACAGATCCAATATAAATCTCTGAATTCCATTGTAAATTTATAAACATTCACAATGTCAAATATTGACATTTTATATATTAACATCAATTCCAAGCTGATATCTATCTTAACACTAGTTTGAGTCTAACAATTCTGACCGTCATTTTCCCATGTCTTCGACGCAAAAAAGGGCCTTGCACTCGATTCGAGTTTACGCGAACCATGATGCATTAATTTGTGAGAGCCTGAGAGGGATTGGTTCTGTTCTGTCGTCGGTGGGGATATTGCTGTATTTATCATAAACTTCCATTCAGTGTGTAATTTGTTACATGCATGCATGGGATTTATACATGTGTACGTAATAGGACATCTGTCCCCCCGCCAGACAACTCTATCAATGCTCCCTGATCAGAAAAGATTTCCTGCAACCCAATCAAATGTTACCACGCCAGTGTGTAATGTTCTAAACCACACACCAGTTTTTGTCTTTATGAAAAAGGTCTCTGGCTTGTTCTGGGACCATGTGGCCGTGTTCGTAAGAAATAGAGATAGCAAAACCCCATTCACACATCAGTATAAATATATTAAAATTGATTCGTTTTTACATTGATGACTTTTGTATTTTTGTCAAATGGGTTTTACATTAATCAATTTAAGTCGTAAATTTTATATTTACACACTTTGCTTTCATCTTGAATGCAATTAGCATGTCTTAACTTGCACAGCAAACAAACCCAGCCTCAAAGGAAAAACCATTCACTTATTTAATTAATACAGTTATACAGGGGGCCCAACAAGCATGGCGTTAGAGATTAATCAGTACCGCTGTCTTCTATCAAAACTAAATATTGGATGCTAAGTGTAAGTGGGTTTCGTGGAGAGGTGGCCAACTTTGAATTGAACAAAGCGGATGCTCCACCGTAATTATCAGGCATCCTAAATTTTTCCGGCCAACCCAACTACTTGCATTTAATGGACGGTGATGGTAGTAGTTGGGTAAGTAGAGTAGTGATGATAGTAGTGGACCTAGTGGTGGAGGATTTCAGACGAGAATTCCTGGAAGTATGAGCTTTTTGACTTATTGAGCAACCCTCGGTCTTTCCGTCCTTCCATTTTTTAAATAAAATTATAAAACCTTAGAAAGCTTTCTTTTTTTCTTGTTTTGAGAGAGAGGGGGTAGATAAACATGAAAGATCGGCAATTAATGTGGTGTGTGTGACTGGTGTCGTCTACGGTTCTAACTATATAACATTTCTTCTGGTTATAGCTTTTTTTTTCTTTTTCTTTTTAATTAAGCTACTATTTTCTTTCTGGTTATAGCTTGGCAATTGGCATCTATTGTTAGAAATATTGTCACCCCATCCTTAATATCGCTCATTAGATCAATTTAAATTTATATGGGTAGGTTGGGTTAGGTAAGGGGTTGAAATGAGTTAGCAGAGTTAATGTGAGTTGGGTCATGCTCATTTTGATTAATATTAAATGAATTGTTAAAACTTAATGGACTGGTGGTTTTTCATGGATCCCACCGCATATAATATATAAAACCTACCATATTTAACACCCAAATGTATGTAATTTTTGAACATCCGCCTACGGATATTTGCTCTTATTTGTTGGTGGATTATGTAGGAAGGGGTCACTACGTACACCCACACTTTATGTTTTGGGTTCTTGAGTTTAGTTCGTTTCAGTTAATCTTATGCATGACTCAAAATAGATGGTGAAAAAAAAAATACTCTATTCAGTAAAAATAGAAAAGAGTTTCTGCAGGTTATATCGATCCTTTTTAGGCTTTATTATATTTATAAATGGGTTTTCTTTTTTGAGCCATAAAAAGGCAAAATTCATTAATTTATACTCAGAAGATCAAACATGATCAGCAAAAGACCAGGAATGAAGAAGATGGAAAGGCATTAAAAACCATTTGGAGCAAAATAAATTGCTGATGAGATCGGTTGAGAGAAGGTAAACTGAGCACCGGCGGGAGTAGATCAGTTATATAAGGCCTTTGCAAATGACGTAAAAAAAGATAGAAAATGCCAAAATGAAAGAGTGCCGACCTGTCAACAAAAACACATTCCAACCCACTACCAATCTTGCACGGCACATTTTAAATACACCGAAACCAATGTTAACTTGAGGCTGAGGTGTTTTTTGAAAACATAAGTATTGCCAAGGCAAAGGCAAGGAAACCCCAATCCCGTGGCAATGCTAAACTTGAAATTCAAAAAACAAGAGATAGGCAAAATCAAAAACTTCTACCTTGAAAGCTAGCCCAATATGTCTTTAGTGGAGTTGAGCAAACGTTAAAGAAACCCAACATTAATGGGCTGATAATGGATTAATGGATGGGTTTTCATGGGCTCTACTTCTAGGAGCCTAACACTAGTATGGTTTTCATGGGGGCCGGCCGTATGTGTAATGCAGGGCAAATATTCATCATTCATACAACGTGCAGTTGATAAGTAAACTCACTCTCACGGTTTACTACCGTCGTTCACTTTCTGTTTGTATCATACCTGTAAAGTTTACCTCAATCTGGAGAGAAGGAGAGATCTAGAGTTATCACCCATCATAGTCTGTACTCTGTACTCTGTACTTATATGTCCAGAGTACAGACATTTATAAAAAAGGTCAACCTTGTACAAACCCAACCAATGGATACCGGCCCATACTGGGGGGAGAGACGAATTCGCATCTTCTAGTCCCTTGGCTTGGATTAAGCAAGTCGACAACATACTCCAGGCAGCCCAGCCCTTGTTGAAATAAAAAGTAACGGAGTCCAGGCTAACGGCTGTCTGGACTCCAAATAACATTTCAATGTAATTAAACGACAAGGATCTTTCATCCGCTGAGAGCTTTCGCTTCTTCTTTCTTTAAGGGGGCGTTCTTTATTGGGATTTTGAGAGGGTGAAATTGGTCAATGAGATTTTGGTTTCTATTGATCAAAAATTTTATGTTCTTTTTTCATATTTATGTAAGGGATTAGAGAAAGTTTATTTTCCTGTGTATTACTTACCCCCATCTCCTAAGTGGGTAAATAACTTTTCCACTTAAGGGGAAAGTTGCCAACACTTGAATGGGACAAAAATGTCTCTTTTAATAATGGATTTTTATGGCTAAAATGGTTATTGCCTTGTTTACATGAGAAATAAAAGAACATGGGTAAATGCATTTACCCGGGTAAGTGTTTCCTAGGAAAAACTTACTCAGGTAATTGCATTTACCTGGGTAAGCAACTTAACGAAAAGCGAACGGAGCCTAAAAGTTCATGTACAATTTATTTTATTTTAGGGTAAATTACAAAGACCCCCCCCCGATCTTATGGGGTTAGTGACAAAGACCCCTCCTATACTTTAATTTGCAACAAAGACCCCCTTCCCTTAATCATTAAGTCAAATTACGAAAAGTGTTAAATTACCAAAATACCCCTTTAAACTTTCTCTATTTTCTTTTTCTTGCCATTTTCTTTTAAAACCTAACCGACCCAAAAATACCTTAATTTTCACCGGAAAAGAAGCGGATCACATATGGGGACGTATTCCCGGTCTCTGATGAACTTGCAAATAAACCCATTTTACCCAAAGATGCTATTACAATGCAGTCTTGTAGAAAACCTGGTGCTTGGAGAGACCCAGAAAGGCAGTCCAACTGCTATGGTGCAATTGGCGCCGACCCAAAACGAGAGAGCTAGTGTAGTTAGTAAAGACAGTTGTGACATTGTGGGTATATGACATTAATACGGTATGGCCTTATGTAGAGAGATCATAATATTAAAGATTGGCGTGAAAGAATATCAAAATATAAGCAATAAAATTTCCACTATTAAATAATGGGAATTTGTAGTTAATCAACCAAAAGCTATGAAGCTTCCCCCATTCACTCTTCCTACTTTCAAATTCAAAGCAGTATAAAAAAGTATACGTTGACACCACTAACATCAATGGTGATCAGAGTGTGACTGTGGAAGACAATGATATATTCCTGGGGAACAATGTGATAACAGAGTTTGTTGTAAGACATGTAATGACCTCAGTTTTTTGAAGTCAAATACTGACATAGTCTATCACTAATTTGCGTTTCCTTATAAGAATTCAAATCCCTCAACCACCAACATCTGAGCAAAAGAAAATTTTCTGACCACTTATGCTTTTACATAGTTTATATAGGCATATGTAAAATTAAAGGAACAATATTTTGAATGCCATAGATCCCTTAGTGAAAAAACTCTAATTGTTGAGAACCACCAAGACAATTAGGAAAAAAAGAACACAATTCCAACAGTGAATAATCAACCCACATTTAATCTTCAATCTTAAATAGGTTATTTGCTAAGCTCCTGTTATGTTTTCTAGACCCTCGTTGCACTATATGAAAAGTTATAAAAGAGAAAAAATGATTAATTAATCAAACAAAATCAAAAGGGACAGAGATCAGCTCCTGGAATTAGCATAGCACTGTTCATAC